TGGTAGTTTTATAAGATGTGAAAAACTTACAGTCAGTAAATGTAAGTAAATCTATTCAGAGAGTACATATATTTATAGTGAATATGTTATAAACATTTGTAGCATTTTTTCCTTTATCTGATAAACTCTGATCATTGTTCAGTTGCCAACATTTCTTAACATTTTACTACTTTGTCACACTGTCTTGATCACTGATAACAGAAAAACAGAAACACTGATATATGTGTGAATATCATTTATAAATAAACACACTACTTTAAAATAATAGTATAAATGCATCAGGAATAGCTTTTGTGAGAAACATCGTTTGATTGAAAGTTAACAACCAAGATAAATGGGAAACTTTGAAAGGATTATATCTATTCTTTGAGAAAAGTTTTCTTACCCCTTGTTTGTATTCTATGTTTAATTTACCAATATTGCCTTCCAATGAACATGTTCTTTTCAGAATCGGCGTTGTTTATGTTTACTATAAGTTCATTGCCCAATCATGAAACTATTTTACATGTATTATGCCATTTTATTCTTATGACTGTTCTTCTAAGTGTGTACTAATTGTTTGATCTCATTTCCAAATAAGGAGATTGAGCTTCAGAGAGAGAGAGAGAGAGAGAGAGAGAGAGAGAGAGAGAGAGAGAGAGACTAAGAAAGTTGGTTCAGTAACTTAAAGCTATTAAGTGGGCATACTGATACACACACTTAGGTACACAATAAATCTAAAACATTGGAATTTTGGTGACATCTATATTTACCATTTCATTAAAGCTATATATCAAATCAGTACGTTTTGGTGTATAAATATTGAGGAGATGCATAAGGTACGAGAGAAAGGGTCTGAGATGTAGCATTTTCTGCAGATGACAGATCCTTATTTGCAGTTGCCCTTTATAGAACCTCACCAAAGGCCAACAGCCTTATAATAGAAAGCTGTTGAAGTATCTTCATCATAGTTGATAAAGAGAAGGCACTGAAGTTACTATTTCTGAAACACAGAAGTAGGCTTTGAGATATGAAATTTCTGTGATTTCTTCACTACCTGTGGGTGGCCTCCTTACAAATAATGTAAACAAAAATGTTCTTGTCTTATTTGATGATTACTAAAATGATCTGGTTAGTGTCTCTTGATGTTCCCTTTATTCTATTGTTTCTCTTAGTGAATGTTTGCAGTTTCCAGAACTACCATGGAACTGTGTCACCATAGTATAAAAGATGTGTTTGGATATTTTTGATGACATACTGAAACGGCATCAAATAGCACCTTTCACACACTTTTTTTTTTTTTTTTTTTTTTTTTTTTTTTTTTTTTTTTTGGTTTTTCGAGGCAGGCTTTCTCTGTATTGCTTTGGAGCCTGTCCTGGATCATGCTCTGTAGACCCGGCTGGCTTTTCCTGCCTCTGCCTCCAGAGTGCTGGGATTAAAGTCGTGTACCACCAATGCCTGGTTTAGTTTACAATTTCTAATGCAATGGATTATTTAACTTTTTTTTAAAGAAATAGAATGTTTTCATAAAATTTATGGGGAAAACAATAAAAAGCAATATTCAAATTTATTCTACCTCATTCTGATAATTGATAGTTTTAGTGCTTGAGTATCAAAAGTACCAATAGCATTTCTCATTGTAGCAGTTATTAGAAGACTAAGTTTAAAATTACAGCAGAATAGAACTTTCAAAATAGGTATTAGCTATTTTATTATTAATCATTCCCTAATACTCCCCCTAAAACCACCTTGATTTATTTTGAAGTTAATGAAAATTCTTAAATGAGAGGGCTATCTGGTATGGCAATACATGACTGTAATTGTAGCATTCAGGAGTCCAAGGTAGGTAGATCTCGGGATATATAGGAAATTATATGTCAGCCAACAGGGTACATACTAAGATTCTTCCTTGTCTCAAAACAGGGTAAGTGACTCACTTTTACTTTGAATGTTTTCTTGACTCTCACATTTACTCTGTGCATCCATAAATCCCTTTTCATATTATAGATATTTGCATATTTGATGTAGCAAACATAAGACCATCTTAATAATAATACCACTGTCTGTTGCTGACAGATTTAAAGATCTCACATGTTATACTTTTCGGTAATTCTTTCATAAAGCAAACGCTCTTTACAAACAGTATTTTTTGTATTATATCGATGTACTTTGCATCTTTGGCATAATTTAATGATGACATAGTTACATGTAATAAGTGCTTAATTATTGGTGTTTTTATTTCACCTGTTAGAATTCTCACAGGTAAATCTAAATCTTTTAATCTTGTTCTTTTCCTTTTCTCCTTCATTAATTTACACCGAAGAGTTGCCTCTGGACACCAGGTGCTCTACTTTAACCCAAGCGTATTGCATTCCCTTGATTGCTGTTAAAGGATATTTTTTTCTCACTCAGCACCAGGGTTTTAGAAGTTGGTTAGCTTGGCTGAGAACCTTTGATTGCGCTCAGCGTAAGTAATTTTAATAACAGTTAAGTTTCCATAAAATACATTATTGGTAAACTAGGCCTTCACATCTACAAAAAGCCATGGAATAGTGTCGGAAATGATTAGATTCTAAGAAATTGTTCAGACAGCCCAATTGCCACCAGTTACATTTAAATTTCCTACATTCTTTCCCCCATATTTTAGACCGTGCTCCACATTTTATTTTCCTGTGAAGAATTGTGTGGAAAACATGTAAAGGAGTAGTGGCATGTACTCAGAAAACAGATGTCAAAACTAATCTGGATCTGGATCAGTTTAATTTTTGCCATTATTAGTATCACAAAAGGTTCCTGAGGGAAAGAGAAGGAAGACAGGTATTGAAGGAGAAAAAATTAAAGAACTAGGTTTGCAAATTGATGTTGTAGTGGGACAAATTCAGGAACCACTGCTTTTT